ACCCTGGGTACCCCCATTAACGACCCTGGGTACCATTAACGACCCTGGGTACCTTGGTGTCCCCATTAACGACCCTGGGTACCATTAACGACCCTGGGTACCTTGGTGTCCCCATTAACGACCCTGGGTACCATTAACGACCCTGGGTACCTTGGTGTCCCCATTAACGACCATGGGTACCTTGGTGTCCCCATTAACGACCCTGGGTACCTTGGTGTCCCCATTAACGACCCTGGGTACCTTGGTGTCCCCATTAACGACCCTGGGTACCTTGGTGTCCCCATTAACGACCCTGGGTACCTTGGTGTCCCCATTAACGACCCTGGGTACCTTGGTGTCCCCATTAACGACCCTGGGGTACCTTGGTGTCCCCATTAACGACCCTGGGTACCTTGGTGTCCCCATTAACGACCCTGGGTACCTTGGTGTCCCCATTAACGACCCTGGGTACCTTGGTGTCCCCATTAACGACCCTGGGTACCTTGGTGTCCCCATTAACGACTCTGGGTACCATTAACGACCCTGGGTACCTTGGTGTCCCCATTAACGACCCTGGGTACCATTAACGACCCTGGGGACCATTAACGACCCTGGGGACCTTGGTGTCCCCATTAACGACCCTGGGGACCTTGGTGTCACCATTAACGACCCTGGGTACCCTGGTGTCCCCATTAACGACCCTGGGGACCTTGGTGTCCCCATTAACGACCCTGGGGACCTTGGTGTCCCCATTAACGACCCTGGGGACCTTGGTGTCCCCATTAACGACCCTGGGGACCTTGGTGTCCCCATTAACGACCCTGGGTACCCTGGTGTCCCCATTAACGACCCTGGGTACCATTAACGATCCTGGGGACCATTAACGACCCTGGGGACCTTGGTGTCCCCATTAACGACCCTGGGTACCATTAACGACCCTGGGTACCTTGGTGTCCCCATTAACGACCCTGGGAACCATTAACGACCCTGGGTACCCTGGTGTCCCCATTAACGACCCTGGGGACCATTAACGACCCTGGGTACCATTAACGACCCTGGGTACCATTAACGACCCTGGGGTACCATTAACGACCCTGGGTACCATTAACGACCCTGGGGACCTTGGTGGCCCCATTAACGATCCTGGGGACCATTAACGACCCTGGGTACCATTAACGACCCTGGGTACCATTAACGACCCTGGGTACCTTTCTTCTCTCAAGAGGAGACTTTGGGAGAGATTAAAGCCCTTGCGGGTCCTTGTTGGTGTCAATCATGGACTTAACGTGAGACTTGCTAGAATGTTTTATGTATCATTTATACGCTCTGTGATTGACTACAATGCTCTACATCTCACACTGTATACTGACAAAGAGCTGAAATCTCTTGAAACCTTGCAAAATGAAGCTATGCGTCTCATCCTTGGGGCTACAAAGTCCACGAGAATAGTTAATATGAGAGCAGAGTTAAAATTACCTACCATAAGTGAGAGAATTTTGTCTATTAGCACAGTTTTCGGCGTGAAGGCATTGAGTAGATCTAGACAACACATGAAGTTTCAAGCTAAACTTTCTAATATGCTGCACTCACCTGAGGTCTATAGAAGAAGAACGAAATCTGATTATGTATATTGGTTCTACAAGGTAGCCAACTCCATCAAAATATTAAATATGTACCCAACTCAACTAATGATTAATCAACCAATTACTCCATGGGATAACTGGGATCTATCAGTTGATTTTGTAAATGCGCCCAAGAAAGATAGTGTGCACTCTACATTATTAAAACAGTTAACACTGAAAAGCATCACTGAAAGTACTCAGAGTATGGGTAACGATGTGTATCAGTGCTATACCGACGGCTCTGTAGAAGAAGGTGGACGATGTACCGGATGTGCATGTAACACATTTGAACAATCTTCTCTCGTACATACAGCAATGAAGCGCGTCAATGACTGGGCAAGTACAACTCAAACCGAACTTGCAGGCATATACCTTGCCACTGAATTTTTAAAAGACAAAGGCAGTGGACTTATATACTGTGACTCGCAGAGTGCACTCCTGGCATTGAATGCACATAGTAGTGACACCCAGAAAATAGTCAGTGATATTCGAATGAATGTTTTAGCTGCTAAAGAAAACAGATTTGAAATTAAATTCCTATGGATACCATCACATGTTGGCATCTCAAGGCATGACACTGTTGATATGCTTGCTAAGACAGCCTGTAGAAAACCAGTGGTAGAAATTGATATGGGTGTTTCATTAGCAGTGACAAAGTGAATACTTAAACAAATATCTAATGAAGATCTCACCAACCTAACAAATTCACAGACTGGAAAGTTGTAGCATTGAATATTATGATAGATATCGTGAGGAGACATTCACATATGGGACTAATAGAACAAGAACCCGACAATGTGATGTTATAGTGGCCAAAATACGCCTGGGATATAGACGTATCTGGCAGCTTTCTCAAAACCCAAATGTCGAGTACACAATGTGTCAACTTTGTGAAAGAGAAAACATGCACTCTCTTGAACATTATATTGTAGAATGTCCCATATTGACTGACTTTCGCCCTCCTGGGATAAGGTATGCTGAACTCTGTAGTTACTATATGAGTACTGGAACACTTGATGATATATTGGACTTGTACCCAAGATTGACCATGTAATGTATCAATTATACAATGTATGTATGTGATGTAACTATATAACCTGAGCTTGTAAAAGCACCTTCATCACCTTCAGTGGTTAAGTGCTTAATTGCACACTAGTTTCCCTATCAGCTATCTCACCCTGTCAGAGTAAAAGAGACAAATGTATGTGAATGCATGTGTGTGTATATATGTATGTATACATGTGTGTATATATGTATGTGCACATATATATATATGTGTGTGTGTGTGTGTGTGTATATGTATGTGTATAAAGTACATATGGAAGCTAATCAGAATTACATTTCACTTTTGTAAATGCACATTAACGACACTATGTAAAAGACACATCAAACACTTTATGTAGGGCATACGTAAATCTGTGTATCTATGTATTTACGTATGTAGGTTAGCTTAGCATTTTAAAAACACCGAATCACCTTCTGTGGTTGAGTGTTCAATAAACCCTTGAACTATATGTTTAACACTTCTCTAACCCTGTCCATGGAGGACAGAAGAAAATGTATATATGCTGGTTAGCATTGTAAATGTCTGGCCACGTCTGTGGTAGAAAATAATAATAATAAAACTGCTAGACTCGACTCAATAAACCATCTAAATTACTGTGGCCGACGAAAATGCCTAAATCTATATTATAGTTCAGAGCGCAGGCGGGAGAGATACATAATAATTTACATGTGGAATATATTAGAGGGGCTGGTCACATATTTACACACACACACACACACACACACACACACACACACACACACACACACACACACACACACACACACACACACACACATGACATGAGACCGTCTGGCCAGACCGTCAACCAGGAGGCCTGTTCAGAGACCGGGCCGTGGGGACGTTGATCCTGGGAACAGGCCCAAGGTAACTGCAAGGTATAATAACCCGTGAACACCAAGCCGGCGGCTTGGTGTTCACGGGTTGAGGTGAGAGGCCACAGGTACAGTCAGGAGTGTTCTAGGAACGGTCCATGAAGCACCATTGTTTCTATGGTAAGAGGCGCCATTGTTTACCTGTAATAATATTATACAGTGTAAGGGAGCCGGTCGGCCGAACGGACAGCACGCTGGACTTGTGATCCTGTGGTCCTGGGTTCGATCCCAGGCGCCGGCGAGAAACAATGGACAGTTTCTTTCACCCTATGCCCCTGTTACCTAGCAGTAAAATAGGTACCTGGGTGTTAGTCAGCTGTCACGGGCTGCTTCCTGGGGGTGGAGGCCTGGTCGAGGACCGGGCCGCGGGGACACTAAAAGCCCCGAAATCATCTCAAGATAACCTCAAGTGTGTTATACCATTAGTACGATGACGACTCTTCATGTTATACCTGTTGCTAGTTATCATAGTGAATACATGACCTTAACAACACAAGAATTTACTTGTGTAAAGGAGGAAATGTTTATCTCTCAGAATGTTTGGTAATATGTTTATTGTTTGTGATGTGTGTCTATGTATGTATTAACACGATGTACTGAACGGGGTGAGGATAGTTTGAGCTACCTCATCCCTTTGTGGGTATTTTACCTCAATAAACTTATTTCAATTTCAACACAAGAATTAAGCAAACTACTAAAGGCCATTTGGCCCATAGACGGCAGCTCATGTTAATATCCTCCCAAAACGTATTCATATGTATGTCTAACCTACGCTTGAAACACTCAAGTGAGCCCCCACGTCTGTCACCTTACGGCGGTAGTTTGCTCCAGAAATCATCAACCCTTATCATCCAGGTCCACAGCCTAGTGAACCAAACTCTCGCAAGTCGCGCCTAGCCTCGGGCCGGGCTTGGGGAGTAGAAGAACTCCCAGAACCCCATCAACCAGGTATATGTGGGCCTGCGGGCCGCTCCAAGCAACAGCCTGGTGGACCAAACTCTCACAAGTCAAGCCTGGCCTCGGGCCGGGCTTGGGGAGTAGAAGAACTCCCAGAACCTCATCAACCAGGTATATGTGGGCCTGCGGGCCGCTCCAAGCAACAGCCTAGTGGACCAAACCCCCTCAAGTCAAGCCTGGCCTCGGGCCGGGCTTGGGGAGTAGAAGAACTCCCAGAACCCCATCAACCAGGTATATGTGGGCCTGCGGGCCGCTCCCAGCAACAGCCTGGTGGACCAAACTCTCACAAGTCGAGCCTGGCCTCGGACCGGGCTTGGGGAGTAGAAGAACTCCCCAGAACCCCATCAACCAGGTATCTTTCCAAGCCAGTATTTACCCAGGTGTGCGCAGTAGCAGGTAGAGGTTGATGGTGTGTGATGAACAATGTTGTTGTGGTTGGTGGCTGCTGCCTCCTCTCTCTCTCTCTGAGGTGTCTGACGTGTTCCTCCTTCACCCTTACAGACGGCGCTCAGTGTCTTCTTCCAAGAAGCTGTTCCCAATGGTGGCACCCCCCAGCACCACCTCAACCATGTGAGTACCCCTACACCTGGCTGGCGGGGGGGGGGGAGCTGTGTGAGTACCCCCTACACCTGGCTGGGGGGGAGGGGCAGCTGTGTGAGTACCCCCTACACCTGGCTGGGGGGAGGGGCAGCTGTGTGAATACCCCCTACACCTGGCTGGCGGGGGCGGGGGGGGGAGCTGTGTGAGTACCCCCTACACCTGGCTGGGGGGGAGGGGCAGCTGTGTGAGTACCCCTACACCTGGCTGGCGGGGGGGGGGGAGCTGTGTGAGTACTGGCTACACCTGGCTGGGGGGGAGGGGCAGCTGTGTGAGTACCCCCTACACCTGGCTGGGGGGGGGGGTCAGCTGTGTGAGTACTGGCTACACCTGGCTGGGGGGGGGGTCAACTGTGTGAGTACTGGCTACACCTGGCTGGGGGGAGGGGCAGCTGTGTGAATACCCCCTACACCTGGCTGGGGGGGGGGTCAGCTGTGTGAGTACTGGCAACACCTGGCTGGGGGGGGGTCAACTGTGTGAGTACTGGCTACACCTGACTGGGGGGGAGGTCAACTGTGTGAGTACTGGCTACACCTGGCTGGGGGGGGGGGTCAACTGTGTGAGTACTGTCTACACCTGGCTGGGGGGGGTCAACTGTGTGAGTACTGGCTACACCTGGCTGGGGGGGGGTCAACTGTGTGAGTACTGGCTACACCTGGCTGGGGGGGGGTCAACTGTGTGAGTACTGGCTACACCTGGCTGGGGGGGGGGTCAACTGTGTGAGTACTGGCTACACCTGGCTGGGGGGGGTCAACTGTGTGAGTACTGGCTACACCTGGCTGGGGGGGTCAACTGTGTGAGTACTGGCTACACCTGGCTGGGGGGGGGTCAACTGTGTGAGTACTGGCTACACCTGGCTGGGGGGGAGGTCAACTGTGTGAGTACTGGCTACACCTGGCTGGGGGGGTCAACTGTGTGAGTACTGGCTACACCTGGCTGGGGGGGGTCAACTGTGTGAGTACTGGCTACACCTGGCTGGGGGGGGTCAACTGTATGAGTACTGGCTACACCTGGCTGGGGGGGGGGTCAACTGTGTGAGTACTGGCTACACCTGGCTGGGGGGGGGTCAACTGTGTGAGTACTGGCTACACCTGGCTGGGGGGGGTCAACTGTGTGAGTACTGGCTACACCTGGCTGGGGGGAGGGTCAACTGTGTGAGTACTGGCTACACCTGGCTGGGGGGCGGGGTCAACTGTGTGAGTACTGGCTACACCTGGCTGGGGGGGGGGGAGGGTCAACTGTGTGAGTACTGGCTACACCTGGCTGGGGGGGAGGGTCAACTGTGTGAGTACTGGCTACACCTGGCTGGGTGGGGTCAACTGTGTGAGTACTGGCTACACCTGGCTGGGGGGGGAGGGTCAACTGTGTGAGTACTGGCTACACCTGGCTGGGGGGGGTCAACTGTGTGAGTACTGGCTACACCTGGCTGGGGGGGAGTCAACTGTGTGAGTACTAGCTACACCTGGCTGGGGGGGGTCAACTGTGTGAGTACTGGCTACACCTGGCTGGGGGGCGAGGGTCAACTGTGTGAGTACTGGCTACACCTGGCTGGGGGGGGGGGTCAACTGTGTGAGTACTGGCTACACCTGGCTGGGGGGGGGTCAACTGTGTGAGTACTGGCTACACCTGGCTGGGGGGGGTCAACTGTGTGAGTACTGGCTACACCTGGCTGGGGGGGGGTCAACTGTGTGAGTACTGGCTACACCTGGCTGGGGGGGAGGTCAACTGTGTGAGTACTGGCTACACCTGGCTGGGGGGGTCAACTGTGTGAGTACTGGCTACACCTGGCTGGGGGGGGGTCAACTGTGTGAGTACTGGCTACACCTGGCTGGGGGGGGTCAACTGTGTGAGTACTGGCTACACCTGGCTGGGGGGGGGTCAACTGTGTGAGTACTGGCTACACCTGGCTGGGGGGGGGTCAACTGTGTGAGTACTGGCTACACCTGGCTGGGGGGGGGTCAACTGTGTGAGTACTGGCTACACCTGGCTGGGGGGGGGTCAACTGTGTGAGTACTGGCTACACCTGGCTGGGGGGCGGGGTCAACTGTGTGAGTACTGGCTACACCTGGCTGGGGGGGGGGGGGGGGGAGGGTCAACTGTGTGAGTACTGGCTACACCTGGCTGGGGGGGAGGGTCAACTGTGTGAGTACTGGCTACACCTGGCTGGGGGGGGTCAACTGTGTGAGTACTGGCTACACCTGGCTGGGGGGGGGGGTCAACTGTGTGAGTACTGGCTACACCTGGCTGGGGGGGGGTCAACTGTGTGAGTACTGGCTACACCTGGCTGGGGGGGGGAGTACTGTCAACTGTGTGAGTACTGGCTACACCTGGCTGGGGGGGGGTCAACTGTGTGAGTACTGGCTACACCTGGCTGGGGGGGGGGGTCAACTGTGTGAGTACTGGCTACACCTGGCTGGGGGGGGGGGTCAACTGTGTGAGTACTGGCTACACCTGGCTGGGGGGGTCAACTGTGGAGTCAACTGTGTGAGTACTGGCTACACCTGGCTGGGGGGGGGTCAACTGTGTGAGTACTGGCTACACCTGGCTGGGGGGGGGTCAACTGTGTGAGTACTGGCTACACCTGGCTGGGGGGGGGTCAACTGTGTGAGTACTGGCTACACCTGGCTGGGGGGGGGGTCAACTGTGTGAGTACTGGCTACACCTGGCTGGGGGGGGGGGGTCAACTGTGTGAGTACTGGCTACACCTGGCTGGGGGGGGGGGGGGTCAACTGTGTGAGTACTGGCTACACCTGGCTGGGGGGGGGAGGGTCAACTGTGTGAGTACTGGCTACACCTGGCTAGGGGGGGGGGGGTCAACTGTGTGAGTACTGGCTACACCTGGCTGGGGGGGGGAGGGTCAACTGTGTGAGTACTGGCTACACCTGGCTGGGGGGGACTGGGGTCAACTGTGTGAGTACTGGCTACACCTGGCTGGGGGGGGAGGGTCAACTGTGTGAGTACTGGCTACACCTGGCTGGGGGGGGGGGGTCAACTGTGTGAGTACTGGCTACACCTGGCTGGGGGGGGGTCAACTGTGTGAGTACTGGCTACACCTGGCTGGGGGGGGGTCAACTGTGTGAGTACTGGCTACACCTGGCTGGGGGGGGGGGGGGTCAACTGTGTGAGTACTGGCTACACCTGGCTGGGGGGGGAGGGTCAACTGTGTGAGTACTGGCTACACCTGGCTGGGGGGGGGGGTCAACTGTGTGAGTACTGGCTACACCTGGCTGGGGGGGGGGGTCAACTGTGTGAGTACTGGCTACACCTGGCTGGGGGGGGGTCAACTGTGTGAGTACTGGCTACACCTGGCTGGGGGGGGGTCAACTGTGTGAGTACTGGCTACACCTGGCTGGGGGGGGGGGGGGTCAACTGTGTGAGTACTGGCTACACCTGGCTGGGGGGGGGGAGGGTCAACTGTGTGAGTACTGGCTACACTGGCTGGCTGAGTACTGGCTACACCTGGCTGGGGGGGGTCAACTGTGTGAGTACTGGCTACACCTGGCTGGGGGGGGGTCAACTGTGTGAGTACTGGCTACACCTGGCTGGGGGGGGGGGGTCAACTGTGTGAGTACTGGCTACACCTGGCTGGGGGGGGGGGGGTCAACTGTGTGAGTACTGGCTACACCTGGCTGGGGGGGGGTCAACTGTGTGAGTACTGGCTACACCTGGCTGGGGGGGTCAGCTGTGTGAGTACTGGCTACACCTGGCTGGGGGGGGGGGGGGTCAGCTGTGTGAGTACTGGCTACACCTGGCTGGGGGGGAGGGTCAACTGTGTGAGTACTGGCTACACCTGGCTGGGGGGGGGGAGGGTCAACTGTGTGAGTACTGGCTACACCTGGCTGGGGGGGGGGGGGGTCAACTGTGTGAGTACTGGCTACACCTGGCTGGGTGGGGGGGGGGGTCAGCTGTGTGAGTACTGGCTACACCTGGCTGGGGGGGGCTGTGTGAGTACTGGCTACACCTGGCTGGGGGGGGGTCAGCTGTGTGAGTACTGGCTACACCTGGCTGGGGGGGGGGGGGTCAGCTGTGTGAGTACTGGCTACACCTGGCTGGGGGGGAGGGTCAACTGTGTGAGTACTGGCTACACCTGGCTGGGGGGGGGGGGTCAACTGTGTGAGTACTGGCTACACCTGGGGGGGGGGGTCAACTGGGGGGGGGTCAGCTGTGTGAGTACTGGCTACACCTGGCTGGGGGGGGAGGGTCAACTGTGTGAGTACTGGCTACACCTGGCTGGGGGGGGGGTCAACTGTGTGAGTACTGGCTACACCTGGCTGGGGGGAGGGTCAACTGTGTGAGTACTGGCTACACCTGGCTGGGGGGGGGAGGGTCAACTGTGTGAGTACTGGCTACACCTGGCTGGGGGGAGGGTCAACTGTGTGAGTACTGGCTACACCTGGCTGGGGGGGGGAGGGTCAACTGTGTGAGTACTGGCTACACCTGGCTGGGGGGGGAGGGTCAACTGTGTGAGTACTGGCTACACCTGGCTGGGGGGGGGAGGGTCAACTGTGTGAGTACTGGCTACACCTGGCTGGGGGGGGGGGGTCAACTGTGTGAGTACTGGCTACACCTGGCTGGGGGGGGGGTCAACTGTGTGAGTACTGGCTACACCTGGCTGGGGGGGGGGGGTCAACTGTGTGAGTACTGGCTACACCTGGCTGGGGGGGGGGGGGTCAACTGTGTGAGTACTGGCTACACCTGGCTGGGGGGGGGAGGGTCAACTGTGTGAGTACTGGCTACACCTGGCTGGGGGGGGGGGAGGGTCAACTGTGTGAGTACTGGCTACACCTGGCTGGGGGGGGGGGAGGGTCAACTGTGTGAGTACTGGCTACACCTGGCTGGGGGGGGGTCAACTGTGTGAGTACTGGCTACACCTGGCTGGGGGGGGGTCAGCTGTGTGAGTACTGGCTACACCTGGCTGGGGGGGGGGTCAGCTGTGTGAGTACTGGCTACACCTGGCTGGGGGGGGGGGGGTC